AACCCAAAGTTAGAGTTTCTCTCCCCAGCAGTGGAACCCTGGGCTGGGGAGCCTGGTGTGGGGCTAAGACCCCTTGCTCCTCCTGGGGATGTTCTCCATAGCCAAGATATCCCTCCCGATTTTTAGTGGTTACCCATGGGTGTGGGACCAACTCGTTCTGCATCTCTGCCCCTCCTACCAGTCTCAAGGCGGCTTTTTCTGTATGTCCTTAGTTGTAGGGTTTTGGGTTCTGCTAGAATTCAGCAATTCTAAATGATGGTTGTGTTACTAGGAATGTTTTACTTTGTCTTTTTAAAGCAAAGAATTCAGACAAGAGACAGTTTGTGCAGCATAGAACAGCAAGTTCATTAGTTAAAGCAAGTATACTCCAAAACATGGGACGGGCTGACCCAAGACCCAAGAGAGGGAAGCAGCCTCTCCTTACATTGTGTGTTTTTATTTCTATAGGTAAAATTGTCTCTACCTTTCCCTTTCCAGTACCTCTCATTCTCCCAGCTTGTGTGCATCATACTCCCTTCTTGCTCCCAAGGTTGTCTGAGCTCATTACAATGGTCCTAAGCAGCACAGTGTACATTCTGATAAGCAGGATAGTTTTTCTCTCTCTCTCTCTCTAGCCTCTAATAAAACATCCCTTTGATTTCGGGGCATGTGTGAGCCTGGAATCCTGCAGGGCTAGTAAGGCATTGGTGCCCTAATTGAGGGCAGCTGCAAGGGGTCTTAACCCAAGACAAGGCTGCAGCAAGGGGCTTTCCAACCGGAGCAAAGTGTCTCCTTCTCCTGCTCATTTTTATCTACCTACCTACCTTATCAGTTGTACTACAGTTTAGTTGTAATTTTGATGTGGTCATGAGCAGAGGTAAGCACAGGATTTAACTCCTCTGCCATCCTGACCAGAAATCTGCCAGTCGTTGATCAACTTTAAAATCTATGACCATTCCAAGAGAAGTATAGTAGAAAGCCATTTTCTGCATCTCCAATCCCCAAATCTGAAATAAGATTTGGAAAGCACCTCCAAAGCTTATATGTGTTATCAGCACCATGTTCTAACCAACTGAGCTAACCGGTCACCCCTATATGGCTTTTAAAAAAAT